CGTCAGGACTGCCCACCCTCGTTCTCCGGCTCCTGTCCGCATCTGGGTCTCGCTCTGCCCTCGTGTGTGTTTGCGGGGCAGGGGGTGGGGTTGGCGAAGAATGCGTCCTCTGATCCCCCACGGCTCCAGGGCAGGTCAGCAGGTTCGGGATCCCGGGAGCTCAGTCCTGGGGGCAGTGGGCAGGGTGGCCTCCGCGGTTTAAGGGAGGCCTGGTCGGGCGGCTGGAGGGGAAGTTGTGAGCGGGAGTCCGGAGCCTCGGGCCAGGCTGTCATGGTCCCCGGAGTGATGAAGGCGTGGGGGAGATAGGAGGGAATCCCTGCTTGTCTGCATCTCGTGGGGCGGGGTCTCCTGCTTCTGCTGGGTGAAGATTACTTCAGAAAACTCTTAAGCACCAGAGTGTTCCAGAGTCTGTGTCTGTTCAGTTCTTTTCGTTGAAAACGGACTACCCTTAGGCGCTCTTGAAGGTGGTGCCGCTTTGGCCGCCCCTAGAGGTGCTGGAGCGTGGTAACTCGCCGCCCGTGCAGCGCCACGGAAGCAAGTGGGGCGTCTTAACTGAAGATTTAGGACATTCAGGGAATGAGGGTCAGGGAGACTATATAGGGACTACGAGTTTGCCATGGGAGCTGGGATTTTCCAAGTTTGTGGATTTCAGGGAGAGAGGCTCCTATTTTGATTAAGCAATGCTTCTTCCTCCCCAGGCCTAGGTCGAGCAGCGGATTTTAGCAGGATATTTATGTTTCCAGGCCGTCTTGCTGGGCCTGGCGTTGAGGCGGACCTGGGGGCCAAAGCACTGGGTTCAGGGCTCACACTCACTCAGCAGTCTGTCCTTTAACTGATTTTTTTTGGCGGCGGTTTGTGGCCAGGGCTAGGATGTGCTCTGGCCCTTGGCCATTCTCTGGGGTGGAGGGTCTCAGTCACCGATGGGCCAAATGGGGCCTCGACAGAGGAAAAGTAGTTTTTTTTAGGACAAAATGGGAAGAAGGCGGGAGAGTCCATCTCTTTGAGGAGCTTTGGGGACAGCAGAGGGAGATAAGGCTGCAAAGGTGGGCAGGAAGCCAGGAGGGAGAGGCTCTCCATGCCAAGCAAAGAAGTTGAGAGTTCGTCTGGTACAGAGTAGAAGGGAAGTCGTTGAAGAATCCTGCACAGACCTCGGTGTTGGAAAGACCACTTTGTTGTCTTTTAGGTGGACACGTTCGCGTGACAGCAGGAGGCAGGACCTTGGAGGGGGAAGTGCAGGTTCGGAACAGAAACAGATACTTCTCAGTAGCCCTAGTGGCAGGGAGGCAGTTGGGGCTCTGAAGTTGGGTGGACACCTTGGGTGAGCTCTCCTCACCTTGGCTTGTCACCTGAAATGATCCCACCTGGCAGGATTGCTGGGAGAACGGCAGGAGTGTCTGCACCGGGCATGGGGTTGAGGTCTTGGTTGTGTCTCCTTATGGTTCTTGGACTGTGTTGCCCCCATGAGGGCAGCTGCTAGGGCTTTGTTCTTCGCATGTCTGTGCTCTGTTAGTGTTTGTTGAGGCTCTCCCTCCGTTTATGAATTACCAGGGTTAGGGTGGTATCTAATAACTTCCTCCTTTCCTAGAGGAGTAGGGGAATGTGACCATGTGATGATAGATCCCAGACCTAGAAAGGATTCAGACCGAAAGAATTGGATCTGATTGGTCCTGAGGTTGCTTCCATATCTGGGAGCCACTGAGAGGTGATCCTTGGAGCTCCTGCCCTTCTTCCCAAGATACTACAGGGAGGTGGCTGCTGGTGGCTCCCTGGCAACTCCAAGAGCAGGGTGATGGGGCGGCATTCCGAGGAGCCCCTCTAAACTTCCCTGCTCCTTCGGTGGTCACATCCTTCTTTCAGTCCTAAGGTCTTCTCTCCTTCTGTGACCCTCCACATTCTAGCCATCACTGTGCTCAGCCAGCTCTGAGCTCTGAGCACACCCTTTGTTTCTGGCTTTTTGCCAGTGACTGCATGACCGCCTGGGGCCAGCCCCTCACCCTTCCCTGCATATGGACCGTGGATTTCCAGCTCTTGTGAAAGATGAGATGATCCCTCCCTGGGAACCTGATCTTCCTCTGACGCCTCATTACCATTTTGTTCAAGTGGACCAACAGTTACTGCATGCCTGCAGCGAGCCAGGCTGCAAAGCGCTTTGAAGGAGAGCTTTGAGAGACATATGGACAGGAGCCATATATGTTACAGGCCAGAAGCACACGAGCAACTGTAATACCACACATTACATCATCAGATTGCTTCCATTTGGTATTAAACATAGATGCACAGAAAGTTTTCCATTTTTGCCTTTTACTTCTGAGTCACAAATTAAGCCAGCTGGAGGATTTGGCTTATCAGTTGGAAACTCTGCCTGGTCAGGGTCTTTGGTCAGGGTCCCGGAATGGCAGGAGTGAGATTTCAGCAGGGAGGGCATCTCTGGGAGGTGTGGACTTTCCTGTGCTAGATTCTGCTGAGCCAGGCTGCACACTGTCACCAGATGGTCCCTGACCACCCGACTCATCCGGGCTGGCAGGACGGTTGAAGACCACAAAACCACGAGTGTGCACACTGTCTCCTAAAATGCCCTGTGCTGGTTTCGGGCCTCGCTTAGCTATCCTGTTCAGAGTAACCTCAGATAACTCACGTTCAGAGGTATTTGGTTTTTCTGACTAACTTCACTGGATTTTCTGTAAATTATTCCATAATCTGCACTCAGGCAAGGGTGGAATTTTTTTTAAGGAGGTTTATATGAGGATTCACACATCTTTCCAGTTTACTTTGCATATTATTTTAAAATATAAAACATTCCTACAAGTAAACTTGTCAGGGTGTTGAAGTATTTTTAAACATGTACGCCTATATGAGATTTCAACTCTGGCATTAAGCATTATTAACATATTTTTAACACTGGGACAGAAAGATTGGGAACAGTGCTGGCCAGAGCTCTTTGAATCCCTACTCCTCAACAGAGGATTTAGTTGTTGGCAACCAGGGGACTGATGTCCAGGAGAAAGCAGGTGACTTGGACTGAAAAACAGCCAGCTCTGTCCCCTTCACCAGCCATGCTTGCTGAGAGTCACGTGTGTTTCCACAGTTCATGCGTTTGAACTGAATGTTTTGGTGTGGCATTCAGGGCGCTTTCCTTCCCTTGCTGCCTCTCTGACCTGCTCTGTTTGGATTCTTGTTATCTCTCGAAACTCACTTTCTCATCTGGTCAAAAAAAGTTTACTGTTGAGTTTTCTGTGCCCGTAGGAACCTCCTGACCCTTTGGCTCTGCTGTGGTCCCTCCTAGGGATGCCTTCCATACTCCCCACCCCACTCCCTTCCCAACTGCTCCCTTCTCTATGTGGTTCTTACCTCTCCTAGCACTGTTCTGGTTGGTTTGTTTGTTTGTTTGTTTTTAACTCTTCTGGAGCACATTCCTTGCTTCCCAGCCAGATCCTTAGTTCCTCCATCAAAGCCTACCCTCGTCCCCTCCATCTTGAGGGCAGGAGTGTTGGTGCTTTGCCAGCATCTTATCTGAGGAGTAGGAGGAGTGTCCCTTCTCAGCTTTAGTCTGACCTTATCGCATCCTGTTTCTCAGGTGGTTCCTATCCAAGGCATCTTATCTTTTGCACTCTGTCACAGAGAACCAGCTGTGTCAGGAACCAGGAAGAATTTTGTTTTCTTGTGCTTTGTCCCAGCAGAATTATCCAGTTATTCTGGTCGGGACTGTATAAAAGGATTCCCTGGGCTCCAATAATAATTGAATTCAACCATTCAAATACCCAAATCGTTGCAGAGCTGGGGCCCAGGAAGGGATTATACGTAGCCATTTTCATGCTAGGTTCTTCTCCCTAAGAGGATTTGCAGGGAGCTCAGGGGCCTTCTTCAACAGCTCAGACTGAAACAGACTGAGGGAATTTGGTGAGGAGCCTGTGGGCTGTCTGTCATGGGGACTTTGCCTTTTGGAGAAATGAAGTGTGGAATCTGTGCATCCATGGTTCATGAAATAACCCTTCATCCAGGCATATTCATTTTATGTGATGAGTATAGTGGTTAAAGGGATGGGTGTTGGAATAAATTCTAACATCTGACTAGCCTCGAGTTGACCAACTGATCTTCAGTTTCTTCATCTGTGAAACAGGGCTTATGATATCTACAGTTATTGTGAGCATTAAAATGGGATGAGGATGTATAGAAGTTATCACAGTGCTGGACCAAGGATGCTCTCATATGGTGGCTGTTTTTACCTTTATCCATAAGGGATAAAATTCATAATGCATTTATACATACTGTTCTGGTGTTTTCCCAAAGAGCCGTTTTGGAATATTAGATAGTGAGAAGGTAATTCAGTTTTTCACACATATTTTATTCATATGATTGTATCAAGGATAAGTTTATTTGATGTTCTTT